TTTGTTTTTCAGTTGCCTGAAAATCCTCTAATAATATCTCAGTACAGAAGAGGAATAGCCTTTCTGAGCACTTAAGTCGCAGCTGGCCTTCACTAGCCCAGGGTCTTGAGTGATTCTTGAAAGTTTAACCCAAGCTCTTGACTCCAGGCGATGGGAGCTCCAGGGTCCTGTTCCAGCTCGTAAGTGAGTAACAGTAAAAAAAACCTCCCATCATTCCCCCAAGAGGAAGGTCTGGATTTTTCCAACCTTTTTGCCTTTCTGGTTGCATATCAGTGATAACGAGCAAAGAGACTTGACCCATCCATTATTGTTTCCTGTATGTATCTACAACCTCCAAAGGCCAGATCACATTGTGCTGAGCACTGCACAAACGTTATGCGCAGACTGTATTTCCATCTGGTATTTTAGCAGTTCTCTCCCCTTCCCTCTGCTTGGATTTTTCCAACCTTTTTGCCTTTCTGGTTGCATATCAGTGATAACGAGCAAAGAGACTTGACCCATCCATTATTGTTTCCTGTATGTATCTACAACCTCCAAAGGCCAGATCACATTGTGCTGAGCACTGCACAAACGTTATGCGCAGACTGTATTTCCATCTGGTATTTTAGCAGTTCTCTCCCCTTCCCTCTGCTCTTTCCTACTTGTTCTGAGATGGGTGAACCTGCTTTTTGCACCCATATGCCATCAATTTGGGAAGAAATGGAGGGAAAGGCAGTCAGGAAAGGGAGGGGAAGGTACTGATGGGTTTGGGGGGATTTCATGTTGCTTATTTTGAAATATTGATTCATGGTGACTGTAGGTTTCAGAAATGTCTCTTTTGATTAAAAAGTCAGTTTTTCACTTTGAGATGTTCTTTTAACAGCTAGATAGCTGCATTATACAACTAGTGCACAAGGGATACCTCTTAATCTGATACTAACCAAAGCCCATGCAAGTCTTACTCCTTCACAGACTTGATACGGAGCTCTCCATTATATTACAGAGAATTTATATTTTATAAGTGTCCTAGGAATAGGACTTAACTTGTGTTGGAGTGTGTCTGAAGAAGGGCAGCGAAGCTGGTGAGGGGTCTGGAGAACAAGTCCTATGAGGATCGGCTGAGGGAACTGGGCTTGTTCAGTTGGAGAAGAGGAGGCTGAGAGGAGACCTTATCGCTCTCTACAACTACCTGAAAGGGGGTTGTGGTGACGAGTGTGTTGGTCTCTTCTCCCAAGTAACCAACGATAGGACGAGAGGAAACGGCCTCAAGTTGCGCCAGGGGAGGTTTAGATTGGATATTAGGAAAAATTTCTTCACTGAGAGGGTGGTCAGGCATTGGAACAGGCTGCCCAGGGAGGTGGTGGAGTCGCCATCTCTGGAAGTGTTCAAAAAACGTGTGGATGTGGCGCTTCAGGACATGGATTAGGGGATGTGGTGATGCTGGATTAATGGTTGGACTTGATGATCTTGAAGGTCCTTTCCAACCTTAGTGATTCTGTGATTCTGTGAACTTGCCTTAGCTTCCTGTCAGCTGAAATAACTGCTTAATCCTCTCTGTCTTTTCAGTGACCTCTCCCCTCCAGTGTGTTTTAAAACAGAGGAGAAAAGGGTTGAGATTCCAGTCCCAGAGAGCTCCACCACAGTGACAATAACCACAAACAGCATTTCTGGAACTGCTTTTGCCACCAAAGAATTTGAAATTCACAAGACAGACATCTGTAAGTATCAGGTTTTATGTGTGTATAGGTACAAAAGGCATTTATACTACCACTAACAATGCTCCAGAAGTGTTTATGCTTGCAGTTTTCTTTGGCATTGTAAAATGTTGATGTGCTGAGTCCATATGAATCGACCATACATAATAAGTTGTTTTCAGTCCCCTTTCAGGGGAAGGAAACCCTCTGTTATCCATAGATCATGATCATAGCAGAGAAATTAAGGGCAGAATGTAAGGAGGAAAACAAAGTACAACAGTGTTACATCCCGCTAATCACTTTTTGCCTTTTTTTTTTTTTCCTAATTGAAAATTAGAAAGGATTTGTAAACAGGTTCCTAATCTACATACTGAAGTACCTGCATGGGGCATAAAGTGCATTTGCTCAGGCTTGACTTGGGAAAGGGAGAATAAACTTCCTAGTGCCTGTTCTCCCATTTTAAATGCTGAACTGCTACAGAATTAGGTCATTAATTCCTGCAATTTCACAACATTTTAAGGGCAGTTATATCCTATGTCACTCTTGACAGGATCATATTTTTCTAAATATGTGCCCAACTTACCCATTCTGTTCAAATGTATACGAAACTGAGCAAATACATTTATGCATGAGCGATAGGCTGCGTCATATTGGAGTCATAGAAAAATTAGACCTTTTCCCACTTCCTTCCTTCCAAAGGAAAAAGTTGTTAACTGAAGATGGCATTGATGCCATCTGCCATGATTGCTCATAATTTAGTCTTTAGTTTTGGTTTGCCTGCTTATTCCTTTAGTGTAGTCAAAATCTAAAATTAGTAGCACTTCTTATACATGGCTCAGTTTTCTCTGCAGCTGAGGGCAGCTCAAGAACTTGAACAAAACACAACTCAAAAATATGTGGGCAACACACTGGGTTCTCCAGCATCTTGCTCACTCCAGGCAGGATGGGGGTCTCAGATTCATCACAGGTTATCCTGGGCAGTGTGTTGACTGTACTGAACACTTTGCATGCTCTCAGAGCCTTGGCCAGCACTGAAGTTGGATAAATCACACATTTTAAAAAGTGAATTTATCCTGCACCAGGCTCAATGAACTGCCATAACACTTGAACTGCCATAACCCTTGCCTGCTTCTCAGCCTCTTGCTTTACCACCTCCCATTCATAGAAGAGATGCTTCTGTTTAATCTCCCTGTCCTGTCCCCATCACCATGTCATGCCTTTAATATTTCTTGTAGCTTAAAATCACATTCACCATGATCCTCTTAAAAGCCTCATGTGAGCTTCTTTGACCCTGTGCTTCTGGTCTCCTTCCTCCCTACTCTAGCATTTGTTGCAAGTCTTCTATTCCCTGCTGGTCTCCAAAACCCGCTTCTTCCTTTGGGGGATTGTCCATCATCTTCCCTAAGTGTGTTCTCATGTATACTTCAAAGACTGTTGCGATGTTTCCTTTATCTCTGTGGCATTGAATGAAGGTTGCGAAAGACATGGTATCTTCCTTACTAAACATTATGAAGAGTCATATTTATGATCAGTTACTCACACATCTGCACGTTGAGATGTTAGAAGAAAATGCTACCTGGTGACTCATCAGCACCTGTGCTTTCCTGGGAACTTTCTTGCTCAAGTAACGACAAGAGGCTGTCTTTTTCTAATTACAGAGGTTGAGTTACATGTTTGTACGGCTACTAGTTAGTTGAGAGCAGAGAGATGTGGCTGTTAAGCTCCTATAGGGCTGGTGTTGCTAACTAATGACTTGAATATGGCTTTTTTTTCCCTCTTTCTTTTCAAGCATTTGTTCCTCTCACTCCACACATTCTTAGTTTAACACCTGACTTTTCAACTTCCACATTAAATCTGAAGTGGAGTGATAAGGGATCAGTCTTCCCATATGGACTGGATGCCTTTTGGCAGATTCAGATACTCCGTAAAGAAGCAATGGAAAAAGTCACACAAGTAAGTTCTTTACTTCCTTTACGAAAAAGGTATATACAATTTTTGCCCTTGGTAGTATTCTGGGACTTCATTTGAAGAAAGCTGACAACAATAAAGATGGTAGAGCTTTGCAGAACCTGAGTGTAGTCATACTTCTGGTAGCTAACTTCTTGTTAAGTTTCAAAGTTATGAGGACACTGGCTACTATACTGTCAGTACTTATTGACAGTCACAGCTTTCTTCTTTTTTTTTTTAATCTAGTACAGTTTTATTAGAATTTGCTTATGAATTTGGCAGAATTTTTACACCTTTATCTCTGCTTTACTTCTGCAACAGTGTCTCAAGTCTTGGTGGTCTTTGAATGTTCAGTTTGCTTTCTTTTTGCAACCACAGTTATTCCAGCCTTTTTCTAGCTCTGTTCTATAATTGTTAGGAATGGAGAAAAAATAAAATGTGCAGCCTAAGAGTAATGTTAGCAGAGTTTCATTTTGGAAAAGTTGGAACGTTTCCCTGCCCGGGAGAGGCCCAGGATACTGGGATGCAATATATACCTTTTGAAATGCTTGGCGAGCTTCCTGCTCTCCCTCAAATGTCTGTCCTCTGGTATTTCTGACTGGCAGTCTACCTGTTGGTGGGCTGTTCAGCATCTTAGGCTTTTGTCCAAGTATATTCACAACATAACTGAAAATTACGTGGGACATTCCAACCATCCATCAGGATTTTCTGATTTACTTCAATTAATTTGCCACTCTGTTGATACCTGGGAGATTGTAGGTCATTGCTAACAGGTGTTCATAAACCCTCTCTTGGTTTCTGTTTTTTGGGGGAAAACTTTGTAGGTAACCTACTATTCAAAACTGACTCATGAAGACATCATTATTTCATGGAACTGGACATCAGATATGCCTTTGGAGTGTACATCGCATTATGTGAAGATTCGTTGTTATATTAATATAACACGGTTTATTGGCCCCAAGGACTGGAGTGACTGGAGCCCAGTAGAAGAGGTCCCTGGTATGTTTGTTCCCTTGCCACCACATGGACTTTGATTGCTCTATGAAAACTAAGCCAAAATCAGAGGAAAAGCGTTAGGCAGTGATGGACTTCTGCTTTTGAGGGTGTTTTGATGAGAGAAATAATGCAAACATTAGTTAATGAAACCTTGTAGGCATTGATATGTATGCATTGGAGTGCTCCTAAGTCACATTTGAGCTGATCAGCACCATGTTTATAGCAAGTTGTTCATGTGAGGTTGTTTGTTTGTTTTTGTTTTCTGTTCTTCCTTCTCTGATAGGAAAAGATACCGAGCCCAATGGAAGTGGGGTGTTTCCTCAGGACTCTGTGGTGGCAGTAGGTTCAGATGTGACAATTTGTTGTGTCCATGAAGAAGGACAGAAGATACAACGGATGACTTATGGATCAGAAATATACCCAATGATACATCTGAGCAGGCGGAGCAGTGCAATCAGAGTGCTAAATGCCAGTGCTTCAGATACCAGTGGGACAAATGTAGTGTGCATACTGTCTGAAGACGACATGGATGGAACTGTCTTGTTTGTAGGATGTACGTATCGTTTTTACTAACCCTAGGAAAATCAAAGTCTTTGTGAGACTCTCAGGGTTCTGGTAGGAAACACATACTATTGTGGCTTTTTTTTGGTTTCTGAGGATAAACTGAGATTGTTTGATTTCCCTGTGGAAGCTTCAGCACGTGGAGAAGACAGCAAAGCTAAGAGGTTGAGTAGGTACCCATGTAAGCCCTCTTCTCTTAGAACGTAGCCCAGTTCTTCTCTCCTTGATCTCTTTTTCTAAGACAATTCTTCATGATATGGAATACTTCATTTATTGCTCTGTGAAGATTCATCCTTAGTCTTTATTGCTTTAGGTTTACGTCTGTTCTAGTTTGGTCCATGACAAGGCGAGAGTAAGAGCAAGAATTATAAGTGAAAATATTAATTGGCCAACCAGTCAAATGAAAATGGTGTAACAACAGTGAAGACTTGCAACAACAACAGATGCTCATCCAGGGCAGTAGCTACCTGGGAGCTAATTACAGCAAAGGAATCCGTCTGACAGTTTCTCTTTCTTGGAAAATCTAAACATTCTTTTAGTATTTTCTTTAAAGATACTGAATCACTGTGTATCTTCTCTGTCTAACCATGCCAACTCCAGAAATCTCTTCCAGATACAGGTACCTCTTAAACAAACTACTGAAAGTATTTAGTCCTTCTATTCTCATAATTGGTCACTTCGGAGCTTTATGTGTTTTCCCCACAGGGGTTTTGAGAGTTATCATCTTCCAATAGCTGCCCATTAGAATCTTGTTCCCTGTTACAAAAGCCTGCCTTTGAATTTAGGGTTCTTAGGGTTGAGAGAAAGGAGAGAAGAGACTGGAGTAACTTTGAAAGTATGTTCCCAACTCCAGTCTATGCCTCCTGTCATTGACTTTGTGTATTAAATGTGTGGTAGCAAATGCAAAACAGAATCCAACTTTTTATGACTTCTCAGTGAGATGCCATTTTTACATTATTTGTACAGTATTTGCTTTTGTGGAAGAATCTTCCAGGTAGATAAGTCAGTGGTTCGTGAAGAAAGGCTGTGATAATCCCACAAGATTTTTCCCATACAGTGGGAAGAGCTGGAACGTGGTGAAGTCTGTTTCCTGCCTATTTAGTGTGAAGGAGACTCTTGCTGAGGAGACGCATTTAGGGAAGAAAAGTTAGAGGAAGTAAATGTATATGTGCACCATCTTGGTTAAGCCTAGGTCTGGCAAAATAAGTGTTGTTTTTGGCCTGCCGCTTATAATCTGAAATAAACCTGACACTGTTGCCTCTTGTGTTAGTGCCCCCTTCTCTAGGGCCACTACGTAGATATTATTGTGCTATCTTTTGGACAAAAGTGTATGAGACTTGAAAAAAAGTGCTCCGCTTAGCCTCATGTTGGCATGGTTGCCCTCTCTGTTGGGAGCACTGCCCATCTTCTCCAGGAAGGCACTCAATACTGCTCTAGTATGGGAGCAAAGAATAAGGTTTAAAAGAAAAAGATGGGCACTTCCAAAGCAACAGTGAAGAGGACAAACAATTTGGGGCTTACTTTAACTTTCAAATTCAGTGTGGAATTCCTGCGAAAGGCAACATCTCTTTGACATGACTTGCTTGGACGATTCAAAGCAGTGGTGGAAAGAAAGATATGTCGCACAGCTGACAGCATTCCTGTATTGCTCAGGGGCTAAACTGATGCTCAGAATTTTGGAAGTCTTGGCAGAGTTTCAGTAAAACACTTCCAGGTCAGAGCCTGGAGCTTGTGAACATATTTGCATGTGATTTACCAGATTATCCACCCACTTAGAAGCCTAGAGTCAAGTGTTAGTCAGATGGAGTTGATAATTACCCATCTGCTTTATTGGGATTTTTTTAAAGCCTATTGTTTATATGGTTAGAGCATAACTATTACCGTGTATTTGTGGGGCACACAATCTAGACCCAGCAAAAACAAATGGTAACACTTTCAGGAAGCTAGCATCCCAACTGTCACACTAGGATGGCAAAACATCAGCTAACTGTTTTGGTTTCTTTTCATGCTACAGATGCCCCTGATATTCCTGAAAACCTCAGCTGTGAAACATCCAACTTCCTGATAATAAAATGCACCTGGAAACCAGGAAGACCCAGTGGACTATATGGAAAACGAAGAACGAAGTACAGTTTATTTGAAAGGTAAAACAGTTCAGCACTAAAAAGAGTAAGAAGTATCCATTTGCTGTCTGTGAGTTACTGCACTATGCCTGCTTAAATGAGATAGTCGCCATTGTTCAGCACCTAAAATACTTTTCAAGAGTTTGTGGAAGTTGAAACTAAACTAAACTTGAAAAACCCTTGTCTAGCTCTGCAGAATTGCAATGGAAACTAAGGATGACTTTTTCCAAAGACTTATGCCATTATGAACTCATGAGAAAATAAAGTGCTTAGTGTGTCAGGCCATGGCCAACATGTAGATAAGACCAATATGAAAATATGGGGAGATAGTGGGAGTCATTCACTAAGTGTTAATTTTTTTTATATGTAACCTGCATTGGATCATCTATCAGACATTTACTGAGCTTCTGCTATGCAGGATGACAGAAACTCACTGAGAAACAATTGTAAGACAGGCCATGGGGCATTGCCCAAATGTTACTAGGGAAAATAGCAATAAGCCTACACCCATTCTCCTCCGAGCATTAAGAACCATATAGCGTAGAGCAGGCAAAGTGCATGTTACCTGGAAAACATTGAAAGGGACAAATAACACTGGCATCATCCACTGAAAGAAGTGAGGACTGGTGTCCCACATCGTAGGCCATGTGAGGCCTTCAAAGTGAAGAACTGTTGTTTTGGAATAGCTCTTGCAAATAACATTCCTTGGTGGCTGTGATTAGAAGTTAGTGAGGAGTTAACAAAATTCCCATGGCAAGGAGGCTCCCGCCGTAATGCCAAAGGAGCAGTCAGGGAAAGAAGCCAGGAGAGGCCTGAGTCACACAAACTGATGGGAAATGGAGTCTCATGGTGGCTTTGAAGCAAGTCAGAAGCCATGAGGGTTGAGTTAGTCACAGATGTTGTCCAGGATGCTAGTGCTAAAAAGTCATTGGGTAGGATGCAAAGAGGTGGACGAACCAGAGCATGTAGTCAAAGGCAAGGGGCTCCAGTGACTTGACTGCCCATGTTCAGCTCATACATGAGGATGTAGTTCAGACTCGTTTTGCTCATCCCAAAGCTGTGAGGAGATGAATGTGATGCATTTCAGGCTAAGTATTCTCACCCTTGTTCTCAGCCCAGACTGAGGTATTGAAATAGAGAATATGGTGTGGATAGAGCTCAGACCTCAGCTAGAACACAATAAAAATGCTGGAAGGAAGAACTTAAACTTGTGCTACTGAATGAGAGGTTTACACAGATTGTGATTAAAACAACTTCTTTATATGTACATACATACAGATACACACTTTAGATTTTACCCCTAAAGATGTAACCCCAGTCTTGGCTGTTACCAGACTGTCTCCTCCGCTTTTGATTTAAAAACGGCTAGGACTAGTGGATATATCCCAGGTAACAAACCTTAGTTTAGATTTGGCAGCGCTGATAGAAAGACGCATATAGGTGTCACATCTCCCTAGTTCAGAAAGCAATTAAGAACATTCTTTAAATGCAAATGTATGCTGATCTCAACAAAGATACTTTAAATCAGAATCCTAGTTGTGACTTGTGAGGCAGTTTTGCAGGACCTACCTGTTTTCCAGGCTTTTGAGAAGTGAGAGGATGAAAATGTTATGCTAGTGGAAGAGGAGAGTTTCACGTGAGAACAGGGCAAGTCGTGACTGATGCCGCTTTAACCTGCATTGTGGTGTTAGATACGCCTCTGCAATCAAAGCGTCCTGTAAGCCATGTATCAGTGAAACCACCGTTCTTCACTGTGTTTTCAGTCTAGACTTCTGAATGTTGCTAGAAATTATCTTATTCAAAAATTAAGTTGTTCCTCCCTTTATACTTTGTAGAATATCTAGTAAAAATGTTTCATGTGAAGTAAATGAAATGAACAGAGAGCGTGTCTGTGGCTTTCCAGTACTGGCTGATCAAAAAACCTACGATTTCACATTAGGCGTCTCTAATCCTGTTGGGCAAACAGAGTCATCGCTTTTGGTTGATTTAACTCAAAGAGGTAAGACTTAAAAATTATAAAGGCAAAAAGATGTGTTTACTGCGTGCTAACCATTTGTTTGTTTTGGGTTTGAGTAACTCTGACCTGGTATACTTGTCGTTATTTTGCTTTATTGTCACGAGTGTTTTGCTGTATTTGATAATTTGAACTCGAAAAGAAAATAGCATAGGAAATGTCCTGAGGCAACGATTAGGTGCACAGGGCGATATCAGTTCTCCACAGCAATACTACCAGATTGGATACACTGCTGTGTGGATAAATGCTCCTTGTAATCTAATAATTAGATTATGTATTATGTTTATGAATTACTTCATATTCTATTACACATCAATAATTAAAATTAAAATTTAGATGTAACTTTATGAACTGTGAGTGACCCTGTATTTCAATGTCTGCTTGTAGGGCAAAATATAATGCAGGTTTACAACAGCAGGATTTGGACCATAAAAAAAAGTAGCACTAAAAGATAATAGCTGGAGTATTACCTACTGTCGGCAAGAGCCATGATCATCTGCTGTCATGGTTTGTAGGAAGAAATAACTTGTTTCATTAGACCTTCAGTTTAAATGAGGAGAGGGAGAAGACAACCACCTTTCCAGTGCTGTCTTACCCGTTCTTTACGATCTGCCTCCACAGCCACAGCTGAGGATTCAGGGGTTCCCAATGGTTATGGCATTCTGCCCTTCCCTCTGAAAAACTGCATTTGAAATTGAAGATGGTGTGGATTTTTTTGTCCATGTCCGAGTTCAACTAACCTGAGATTAGAATTGTCAGAGTAAATTTGCAAGTCCTAGAAAAACATTATTTGTTTCTGTTTATTATAAACTGCGCTGTTTTGCACCCAGTAGATAAAACTGCTATTTCCTATTTGTTTCCTTTCTTTCCCTCACTGTCCACTTAATTCTCAACATAGAGTACATATTTCCTTATGGGTAACTGGACCAATTCCAACAGTAGATTTTTTTTTTTCTCTGATAGCTATGAATAGTAGTACTGAATATTCTTGAAAATTCCAGAAAGGGGTTTTGGGGAGGGAGAGGTCATTCAGGAGTCCTACCCTGTCGTAGTCTGCAGATTTTAGGTTCTAACTTACAAAGTTCCCAGAAGGTGAACACAGTTACGTGATTTTCATCTGTCACTGTGGTCCTCTGAAATGTCCCATGTTTCACTTTTTTGATAAAGTCAGTAGAAGGGGGAATGCTTTTCTCTGTCTCCAACTCTTTATCACACATGCCTACGCTCATGGAAAAAGTAAATCTGTTTCCATGTTTGATAGCTGTGAAGAGCATCAGGAATGAGAGTGCTTGCGTGTGCCTTCCCAGCACCAGCTGTCCTGGTTGCTGATCAGATCACTGATTTATCCTCTCATTTTCTTTGGTCTTTTAAAATCGGATTTTTCTGAACTAAAATGGATGGGTTTTTTTCTTAGAACTGAGGTTTATTTCTTTATTTTTTAAGTTCATCCAAAAACTCCAGAGAAGTTAACTGTTTCTGGGAACAGCTCTACAAGCATTCATCTGCATTGGTTTATAAACGGCAGCTTTGCTGAGATCAGGCTTCTGTGTCAAATTGAAATTAGCAGTCGTCACTCTGAGCGAAAACTGGTAAGTGTTGCTTTTAATGGATTTACTTCTTTTTAGCCCAAATGTTTATCTTTTTCACTGAACTAAGCATATTTCAATTCTTTTCTCTCCAAGAGCTTCAGTCTGACCATCTTATTAAATGATTAACATAGTAATGACTGGAAGTTATCTACTACAATCAGAAAAAGTTCTGCTGATCTCTGTCGTTGCCTGCTCTTTCTTTTTTTTTTTTTTCCCCTGTTGGTTTTAAACAATTTAGAGGAAAGTCAAATTATCCGCTATGTTATTCAGTACTTAAAGAAGGTGCATAGTGCTTTATGCTGATCCTTTATGTAACAGTTCTTTTGCTTATGTCCTTCCTCCTGCAAACTGTATTAACACGCTTGTTGCAGGATGTGCTTCTGCCCTGCAGACTTCCACAGTGGTTGTTTCAGATTGCCTCTTGCAGTCCAGTTGAATTTTCTTTTTTTTTTTTTTTTCCTCCCCCCTCGGAGAACAGTTCATTTGCTTGCTGTCAGCAGTTGACATGCATGTGGCTGTAATAAGGAGCTGTTAAACCTGCTTGTACATCAGTGGTGTAGAGACAGGACAGGGAAGGATTCTCCCCAGTGAAGACCTCTGCAGGTGGGGAGAAGATGGTGTTTCTGGTTGGTGTTGAAATTTTCCGGAGTTCAGGCTTCCAGCTGCTGAAGTGATGTAAGACTGGAGATAATCATTATATACATTGCTTCTAAAATAAAAGGGTAGTAGTTAATGCATTGTCTGTTACAGTATTTTTAAAATACTTCCAGAGCACTTAATGAGTGTGGAAGCCTTAAGCTTTTATATTTTCTCTATAATGATATGTAGTAAGTATCACAGAATCACTAAGGTTGGAAAGG